GGAGTCATTCTTTACGTTTAGATGCTTGTATTGCAGATGTCCAAGCAAAATGGTCGACGCGTACATGTAAAGTAAGTTTTAAATATGGACAAGAGCTATGTTTTCATTGACCCTGAAATGGAACCATGACACATGTAGACTTTTCCCCATTGTGATTAAAAAAGTGTAGTACAACACCTGTTAGATTGTAGTGTATTAATGTACTATACTTGTATTATATAGCTAATAATATCGTTAACCCGATTTCTGTAGGTAATATATATCAAGATAATTAGTGGTCTTACCCCAGCTGGCGTAATAAGATAGTGCTTCTGATCCAGGGAAGTAGTGCAAACACGTGATGTACCCATGATGGTTTGCCATACGTTCATCTTAACAATAAAACAGTAAAGTCACACAAAGATCCAAAAATAATTTTAAGAAAGAGATTTCCTTTTTTACATATGGTTAATAGAGTAACCAGCCTTATGACTTGTACCAAACCATGTACTCAGATCTGTTACAGCATATATTACAAAAGAAAATATTTATATGTGAAGTATAATAAGCACTCGAAAGCTACATAAAATGGGGGAAATTTGTGAAGAAAACATCTAAATTACTGAGATGTCATGACCATGTAGATTCGCATTCGAACACAAAAATCATTTAGATTTGGAAATTTCTGTTCAATAGATGATAATTAGCGTGCAGAACGCATGACCGAAACGGTGTTTTCTAATAGGACTAGCCTTGGTTAGCTATCGGGGTGTGTCATTGGGCAATGCACTATATTCCAATTGCTTCGGCGCTAAATAATCTATTTGTATTGCTGTGTCGTACAGGACCAAACCAACCCAACCCAACCCTTGGACATATGTTGATAGTTTAAATATATATGCACAAATTAGAGAATATATAGAATGATGTTGCTCCTGGTAACATGGTACCTAATTTGTTCATTTAACTTTAAGTGTTACCATAACCTGCCCATTAGTCTAACTAGAATTGATATCAGTATCTCCTGACAAGCTCAAGACCATTTACCCTGGGCTTTTTGTCATGGACTCTCATATTGATGGCATTATTTTGGACATTACTATCTCAGCAAAACGTTCGATGTACCATAATTTATCGTCTAAATTAGGATATAGTGTAAAGTAGAACTTAGATTTGCAAACATCATTAATAAAAAAAAACAATTTTCGCTGTGGCTAAGTTTACATTGTGGATAAAATATCTAAAGATTGTCTTCATTGTGATAAAATAGAAAAAATATACCACTAACATTCTAAAACTGCACAATTTAATGGTTGTCCCATTTTCCATGCTTATGATATGTATTAAAGATGACTTTACTGAAGCGGGTGTGCGTTACGACACTTGCTATCGGGGTCTAGTGGTCTAAAGAGCTGACCGTTACGGATCACTGCCATCTCACCTTTGTCTGCGTGAAATTCCGATTCCATACTGGGCTAACGTGGGTAAGTGAGAAAGCCTGCCAGCAGCTTCTCGTGGGTCGTTGGTTCTTCCCTGGGTTTTCCAGGGTCCTTTCTCCACCATTAATACTAACCGCCATGTATAGCCTATCTTGTGCTGAAAAATGGCGTTAAACCCTACAACAACAAAAACAACAACAATTGCTGTTACTAAAGCCGGTGTGAGTAACAACACTTGCAATTAATGAAGCGGGGGTGTGTTTTGACACTTGCTCTTACTGAAGCCGGCATGTGTTCCAACCCTGGCTATTACTAAAGCCGGTGTGTACCAACAGGTGGAATTATGGAAGCAGGTGTGTTATGACAGTTGATATTAATAAAGCCTGCGTGTTATAACACTTACTAAAACTTGACGGAAAACTAGTGTTAGATCTATACATAATCAAATACTTAAAATAACACACACACACACACACACACACACACACACACACACACACACACACACACACACACAGAGCGAGGACCTGCATTACACATTATCAGTACATTCACTGTAGCCAGGATAAAACTGTTGTGTGCCTGATTAACTAACGTCATCTGGAGGTAGCAGTGCACAAAAATAAATTCATAATAAAAGCAAGGGGGATGTGTGAAGTTGTTGCTCACGTACCAAGTATCTATTAACGACACGTATCTGAGATATAATTCAATTAAGAAACTAATTTTCTTTATCACGATTGAAAATATCTTAGAAGCCAGGTGTTGTTTATCTTGTAGTGTCTGCAGCTTCAATGTTTTTCGTATTGGTTAGTCAGTGTTTTTTTTTTATTTCAATCGCTAGTTAATATTTTAAATGTTTTGACGTCCGTGCTCATGCCGAAATACTTAGAGTAACGGTACATCTTGCAAGAACTGGAGAGCTTTAGATAGAGGGGGACAATCTATCAACTAGTTCATCATATTCGTACTGAAAAATTGTAAAGAAAGAACAAGAGCACACCACAACGTCATCAATATTCTGAACCATAAATAAATCTACTGTATGCCCAACAAATTTAATGACATACATAAAATCTCAAATTAACACAGATAAAATAATGTATTAATCGCCAAAGATAATGCTAAAGGATGCTTTTGCATATTTTATTTAATTTTGATATAAAACAAAAACTACGAAGAAAATTACCAATTATTCCATAAATTATTTGATGTTACTGACTTTGTGTTAAATATACATTGATAAGGTGCCTAATAATACAGTATTTAGTTTATCTTGTTTAATTTGAAATCCGTGTGTTATGAAGGGTATATATTGATATAATTCTCAATTATATGGGGAAGTGGACACGTTTGGATATATCTGAAAGTAAGTGTGAATTATATATTTCACAAAATATAGGTAATAAATTTCATATATTTTTACAATATCATCATTTTGCTGAAATAAAAAGAAATACAAAGTAAGAACAATGTTCATTTTTACGAGTAAAATATTGGTAATACATACAATTAAGAACAATATTAAAACGTACAAGTTAGACTAATGTTAATAAATGCAAGTAAGAACAATATTAATACATGCATGTAAAAACAATGTTCATACATTCAAGTAAAACAATGTTAAGAACAATGTTAATATATATATATATATATATATATATATATATATATATATATATATATATATATATATATATATATATATATATATATATATATACATATATATATATATTAAAACAATTTTAATACCTACAGGTAAAACAATATTAATACATACAAGTAAGAATAATGTCAATACATGCAAATGAAAACAATGTTAACACATGAAGGTAAAAACAAACTTAATACACAAGAAGAACATTGTTAGTACATGCATGTAAGAATAATGTTAATACATACAAGTAAGAATAATGTTAATACGTACAAGTAACAACATTATTACTATATACTAGTAATAATGTTGTTAATACGTACAAATAAGAACAACGTTAATACATATAGGTAAGAACAATATTAATACAAATAGGTAAGAGCAATGTTAATACATACTAGTAAGAAAAATGTCAACACATATAAGTAAGAATACTGTTAATACTTACAAATTTAGTTAGTGTTAAATAATGACAATGTTAACGTATCGATTACTTTTGGTAAATTTATACAACCGACATTTAAATCATTCTGATTTTCATTATTTGTTTTGTTGTTGTTCCGATACGACAAATTTAGCATGCATTTGTGTCGATTTATGGTGAATGCAAATGTCTGTGTGTAGATAGTTGCACTGTGCATCTTGAGAGAGAAATCAAGTTTTTTTTTTCGGTCCGGACGAGATTTGTTTTTCCACCTTCTCGAAAACCACATCTTTGACGTAATGCACTTTACAACTGTATTATTAATTTAAAGTTCATAACGTTATTAGTCAGATTTATATTTTACGTGTTTTCCATCCAATATTCAAGGTCAATGTTCTTTAAAGATAAGCAAACAATCCAATTAACTAAGACGGCTGTTTATTTCACCAAAGAGTTGTCAGTTTTAAGATCGAATTAAATGTAAGATATAGTAGATCTATAATGAAAATTTGTTTTATTCTCTTTTAGGTCCATTAATTAAGAGAACTTCTTAGGGGGAAATTATTTCATGTAAGCTATGTTCAAAGTATATTGCGCGCACAAAAGGTCGACCAATTAGAACCAAACGACTTTATTGCTTCAACTCTGATCCTCACCCTTCGGCCCCTTTTTACACCTCTGTCTACACTTCTTGTAGTTGACACCCGGCAACTAGATTTTACTTCCTGCTTTCATTATAATTAAGTTGCTTACATAGGAAATGAAATGACTTTGTGGATGAAACAGGTAAGTCTTTCGTTTAGATTGTAGAATTTTACATTCTTGTAATACTTATTTATCTATTCCGTTGTTTATTTGTACTTTTTCGTTGATTCATATATTTTGTAATATCTCATTGATTAATTCATTCATTCATTCATTCATTCATTCATTCATTCATTCATGTCCTTATATCTGTTAATGTGTCTATTGTTTCCCGACCCATTTATTTTGTATATTCATGTCTTTTCCCATTCATATTAATTTAAAGTCTGGCTATTAAAATCATAAACTGAATCAGTTAGACAATAGCTATCTATAACAAAAATCGTCATGCAAGTATAAACGTGCAGTAATAATTAAATTGATATACATCCGATTTGGACAAAAATGTAGACAATTTTTTTCATCTTGAAGACACACGCTTATGAAGTTATATCATCCAGAACCTTTTGAAGTAATCTTAAATGAAATGCCCCCTTTCCCGCACTTTATCCTCACCATACATGTCATCGAGATAACGATATTCAGGTTGGTCTTAAACGGTTATGTGATTTTATTATGATTTTTAACGTAGCTTTAACAATTTTTCAGTCATATCGCTACGATATCTGCAGTGTGGCAGTTTATAGTGATGTCTAGCACTGTGGCATCGTGCCGCAGACATGTAGCATGGTGTCCCACCCAGTCCCATTATCCTGACACCAGGCCGACCAGTCATAACACTAACCTCTTAAAGCTGAACGTCAAGCGAGGCTATTAGCATCGAACCCACGACCTCCTGCATCCGAGGCGGATGCTCTAACCACTAGGCCACCGGAGCAGTTCTCAAACTGTGTATTTTTCCATAGATAACAATCGCATTGTACAGCTAAAGACAAATGTTATTTTATGTGTAAGTAATTCTAGAAGATATTTAACAGTAAGATTAATCATTCTGTTTTTAATACTTGATTTTATTTTTATGGATTAACATTTGTTTTTATTGTTCTCTGTTATTTTAGGGCAATTTATGATCGCTTTGATGACTAGTGCTTGTTATAACTGCTTGAAAGGCTATATGGTCAAACTATCCTAGCAAGTATGCTTTAGATAACAAATTCATCTAAAACAGCTTTCTTAAATTTAGTGATACTCTGTTTGACTTTCCATGCATCAAATATGTAAGTTTAAAAGATCCAATTAGACAGAGAGGCAGATAGGTGAGAGCCACAAATGTCATATACACCACTCCCTCGATAACTCGCGGACATTGGGGTCCAAAAACATCGACCGCGATATAAGCGAGGGCGCGAGTTATCGAGGGACCTATAACAAACAACAAATATAACAATGGGATCGACGCATATACTCAATACTCGTGCTAAGATTAACAGTGGATAAATATCTTTTCATATTGATGTACTTTGTTTAGTTTTTCCTCACAGAGTAACATTAATTTCAGTATAACTTACAGTATATTGAGGAAATCATCTAAACATTATTCCTCCTGGTTTCCGTTTGCTTAGCACATATACTTCACACGTTGTGTATTACGTCACTTATTCTTGTGGTGAATGGTACACATTCTAATTTTATTGTTTGATCCAAAGTAGACGTTTTTTTTTTTCAAATACAAAAGATCGATACACTTCGAAAAAACAATGTCGATCGAACGATGTGTAGATTTTTATTGCGGTAGAAGTAAAACGGAAGGAAAAAAAAAATTCACAAGGTTTAACCATTACCAACATGAATTTAATGGGTCTAAAAATTTAAAACGACATAAATTAGAACACGATAACACTTGTGGTTTGTGACACGTTTGAGAAATATCACTTCACATTTTGAAAAAAATGCAAATTTCACAATATGGATTCTATCTTTATAGGCAATACCGTATTTTCCGCCCTATAAGTCGCTCCTGCGTATAAGTCGCTCCTCCGCACTTACCATAATCACGTCTTTGATACCAACGGCCATTGCATGCGACTTGGTAATTTCCAACTTCGTGTAAGAAATATTATACAATTGTTTAAGAGTTATATAAAAGTCAGTATTACAATAGACTTTGCCTTTGCCTCGAGTCGTATTTGAATTGTTGAAAGTCCATGACCTGCAGCACGCTGTTCCACAATCCATTTTCGTAGATTCTCCTCGAAAACTGGCCAACTTGCTTTGCCACTAGACCTCCCTTCTTGTTTTTTTTTTGTTGACTTTAACTCGTCTTCTTTTTTACGCCAGTCACGCACAATCTTCTCGCTTACGTTGAATTTTCTTTCTGCTGCACGATTTCCGTTTTCTTCGCAAATGCTACTACGTTTAACTTAAATTCTGCATCATATTTTTTCTAGTTGTTGGTGACATGATAAATGGCACGAATTTAATTTAAAACAAAACTTATTGACTTACGCTAATATAACAATTTTAAATCATGCAATGTTATTGTGAAACTATATTTTATTAATGCTCCATTGTATGAAAGGTACGTATTTATACATCGGTCATTTCCACAAACCAAGCGAACTTCAAAGGCACTTTATACGCTTCAGTGATTTTAATACATTAACGAAGACATTGCGAATTCACCTAACCATTGAAACTGTTCACCGGCCTTCCAGTTATTTTTTTTTATATTAATTACCGCTACTTTGAAGTTCTCTCCATGAGTTTAAAACTAGAGCAATCATCCGAAGAAATATTCCTGCTATGTTTATTTTTTTTTATAACAAGCCATTGCGAAACCAACCGAAAAAATGAATATGTGTTTTTATAAACTACTATTAAAGTAAATTATGAAGCTCTAACAGAGGTCTCCGAAACTCTTTACAGGGACATAATTCATTGTTTAAAATAACAAAATAATCCCTGTTCTGCATTCACTATTTATTTGAGTACATCAAAAGAACATGACGCAATAGCTGAGCGGCAAGTTCAAAGGACTTTGACTAGCAGCTTGGGTGGGAAAATGTGCTGAAATTTACTACGACTGAATTTAGAGACGAATAGATTCTAAGATGTACATGCCGAATAGTAAGGGAAATACAATGGCAATCGTTATTTCAATATTTTTTTTTATTTATAAATAACAACAAATTTTAACAAATATATAACGAAATATTATTTGACTATTTAATTTGATAATCTTATAGTCTAATACTTACATGTACCGTATGTAAATTTCCAGCAATTGGCTTGCCCGTATACCGGCAGATGCATTTCGCTAAAGCACAGCCTCACTGCAAAACAGTCACAGTCGTTAAAAAAAATATTTATCGTATAAGTCGCTTCTGCATATAAGTCGCACACGTCATTTTTAAGAAAAATAAACGGAAAAAGTAGCGACTTATACCCCGGAAAATACGGTAATCACCATTTTCGATGATAAAAACTAACTATATATCAAGGTTAAATTTGACAATTTACAATTTCTTATTACGACTTTTTCATGTTTAACACATTTTAAAATATATTTTCCTTGGAAAAAAATCGGGAGCCATGCCGGACACCGCGTTATAATCGGGTTAGCGAGTTATCCGGGCGCGAGTTATCGAGGGAGTGGTGTACATACATAGTGTGTCTAATATTAATATTGTATACTCTAAAAATTCCAACCGTGTTCAAGGAAATAAAATTAAAATAATCATCAAGGAGACTCGTATGTGTGTCTATCTGTTAAAGCATGGATGACATTTGTGCATTTTGTTTACTCGTAAAACGATTCAAATTTAATATTAATAATCTCGTAGTATATGATGATGTGATGTTGGACAAACAATCTAATCCAGCTAGAATATATTCTCGAGGTAGGCATAAGAACACAGCGTGATTTATGTTACTCAGAGATACACACAGATACCTAAAATGATTAGAGATAACTGTAATATTTTGGTTGTGTTTAATGGAGTAGATTGTTATACTCTACAGAATATTTATTATACTTGGTGTTCGGGGGACATGGATATGAATAATTTTTTTTTTTTTCTAAAGCACAATCTGTTCCTAGATCAAGATATCGCGTGGGTCTAGATAAAATGTTTGGTTAGTTCCCGTTGACCGTCAAGAGCAGCAGACAGGGTGAAGGACAACAATTTGAGTAGTTTTACGAGTAAACAAAATCGCTTTACAAAGTCAGGACAAAATAACTTCAATAATAGCATAACAAAAATGTGCTAACCTGACAAAGTCAGGCGTATGGAAATATAATTAGTTAGAGGCTTTGGTTTAGTGCTATTGACCTTTTTTTTCAGCCTCTGTAGGAACCTTTATTTTTCGTTAATGATTCGAGCAAAAATTTGTAGGGTTCACCCTGCCTGCTGCTGCTTATAACTAATTTTAAGAAACATTTGTTACATTGTTATCTTTGTATGTCTAATTGATTCTTTAGTTTGATAAATACATATGCATTGTAAGCGTGTTTTTATTCTCAAACATGTTTTGCAACAATGCTTATTTTTCCCATGTGCTGTTTAGAGATTTGATGTTTTGTGAATAATAGAAATTTCAGGTGGCATTCAGCATGGTACCATTCTTTGTCAATGGCTGATAATGTTCGCTGAGTGATTGTTGCCAAACAGTTGATTTGAAATTATTGTGCTTTATTAGTTGTCTGAAGTCCTTTACTGAAGTTTGTACATTTTCAAGGTCATTTCACCATCACTAAATACTTTTCCGAACACAGTATTGCCAAAAATAGATTTAGATACAAAATAGTGGTTACAGATTAGTTTGGAGGAGATTAAAAAAGCATTTTGCATGTACTAGTTTTCCTAGTGTAGCTAAAATGGTTGACAGCAATTCATACTGAATTTGAATGGAATATCTGTGTTATCTCTTTCTTGATTTCTTTTTGATGCAAATAATTTATCACATAATGTTGTTACTAATGACACATTTTTCTTTAAATAGTTATGCAAATTGAATTACATGGATGAAGAATAAAAAATTTGCCCAAACTTCAACATGTTCATTTGTATAGTTCTGCTTTGCTCACTTTTTGTTCTAATGCCAATTTGGTCTGCTACCAAGTGGTAGGTACTAATTTATAGCTTATAAGTGGAGTCCAGCTGCAAACAACATTGATCTGCCATCACACAATGCACATAATGGTATTTATTCAACTAATAACTCCTAACAAATTGTAAAACCCAGATCTTCCGGTACAATATGAGATGACATAGCTAAAACTGCAGTTTGCAGTTGGACATAAAAGTCAGTAAATATGGTATAATAAACAGCATATTTCAAAGAATGATGGTAGCTGATTGGCTGAAAATAATTACAGGAAAAAAGAATTTTCAGAATGACCCTGTGTATTTGTAAACTGTAAGCAATTGCAGCATTAGACAATAAATCATTTAAATTTTATCACTGTTGCCACATGAGTAGTACTGGATGTAAATGAAGGCTCACTAGGTTAGATATTTACAGTTTGCTCCTACATGGGCATGTTTCTCAAACACTATGCACATGGAATATAATTTTCATTGTCTACTCTTGAACAAAGCATTCATACAGAGTACTTGTGCTTTGCCAATTTTACCATGAAAGTATAGGAATTAGTCTGTGTCCCACAGCCTTTATAGACCATTTCACGATTATGATCTCCCCTTGAAAACACCAGAGAACGTCTTGGTGCAACTCACTTCCAGATAGTTCAATCAATGAATTTTATTTAAAACTAATGAAAAGAAAACAATCATTTAACCATTTGCATTACTTTCTGCAGCTTCGGTCACAAATTTAGGTGTGGTTTAATTTTCAATGTATATGTCACTATACACATGCTCTTTTATTATCGAATTAAAACTGTTGCATTTCTATTAATGTTCATTATATTTTTCA